CATTCTATACCATCTGTTTTACACATAATTTGAAAACAATTTCACTTTCAACAAACAACGACCCAAAACACAGTTATAAATTATGTCAAAATATCTTCGAGTCAAAACAGAAAGGAATATAATATTAGAAATGGAGGCTTGGCTGCCTCAATCTTCTGATCTCTCCAACTGAATTAGTATGAGATGAATTTGTTATGAGCATTCGAAGTGAATATACAAAGAGTGAGAACGGCATGCAGAATCCGTGGGAAGTTTTATGATCTATTTGTCAACAATATAAACAGGAATTAAGACGGGTGATTAGTTTATTGACAAAAAATGTGATACTTTCGTATGATAACTTTATTTATAGTTGTGTGTTTATTTTCTATCAAAATAAAAGCAAATACACTGTAGTTAATAAATTTTTCTCTTTTATTTTAAAAAATTACAACACTGTCTCATGATGTATTTTTTAAAGAAATGCAGCTTAACACCAATCTTTTTGCCATTAGTTTACATGCTTTAATTTTTGTACATTCTGAATTTACTGTTCTCTTATTTATCTATCGGCAATTTCTATTGTTGATATTTGTAATATTTCTGAACAACTGGTAACCTATATGAATTTACATATTTTTATCTTGCTTATCCATTATTTTATGTCCCACTTTAAAATATTTCGTTGTCACCTAAACTTCTGTGCTTTTCTCTCTTAATTTTAATTTTCTTGAACAGTTTACTCATACTAGAGGGCAGTATTAGCAGCTGTCGGTACAGATATTTACACTAATATTTAAAGAAAATGAATTACAGGTAAATATAGTAATTGCCTTCCCTCTGACCCGGAAGGGAAAGCTAGTGGATGTTACTGTAGCTGCTTTTTATCGCAACTACATCACAAAATGTTGCAAGCAGTCTTGCTTTGTCCATTTATCAGGAAATCATATTTTCTTCGGGCTGTTACTACAGAACGATCTTCTGTACAATCTGGGAATACCTGAACCCTATTAAGGATCATATGACAGGCAAAAGATGGTGTATGGTAATTGAAGTAGAGGACGAAAGCTAACCGAGAACCAATTGCTTGATTCAATCTTGGGCACGTTCCTTGCTCTTTGATTACCCTGTAAACTCTGTCCTTGATGCTGATTTGTTTTGTTCGTAATTCATGTATTTTCTTATGTAGTATTTTATTTTAAACTCTCTCGAATATTTTATATCCTTTCTACAAGTTTATCATATCTTATTCCGAATATATTATCGTGGATTCTGCCGACTATTATATTATATAATCCATCGAGTATTTTATCACGTAGTATACCGGATATTTTATATATAATCTATCGATTATCTTATCATATATTCTGTCAACTCTTTATCGTATAATCTGCCGCCTATAATGTTATTACTTTCTCGACTATTTGAACATATATTCTGTTTCTTAACAGCAGAGATATGCGCTGTGACCTGTATTTTGATATATTCCATTGTTCTGTTGCTTATTTATTTATACAAGAGCTGGATTATTATTAACTATGTTATCTCCGTAGTCCAATCCTGTTAAACACTTACTTAAACTTATCATTAGATCATATAATCAAAAAGCAATAACAGTAGGTATCAAAGAGAATATTGGCTTCATTAGACACAATTGTTTAGGCGTTACGTCATACCTTCACATGGTCTCGTGCTATGAGTAATGCTGTGTGTTTTTTTTCTTTTTTAGTTTGAAAAATTTATTGAAAAAAAAAAAAAAACAAGTTCATTTGACCATCGATGACAATTCCAGAACAACGTAACTATAAACAATTTTTTCTATCCTCTGCCAGCCGCAATGATGGAGAAAACATTACCTCGAACCATCGCCAGTGAGACACGCTGCAAGAGCCACTCCGTTTCTCGAGGCTCGTCCCTTAATCGAGACGCAATCGCGCCAATACTCCAAAGGAACGCCATCGAACGAGGGCCAACAACCCCTGAAGTCCCCACTGCCACAGGAGTAAAAAAAAATCTATCAGCAAGAGAAGAATATTTAACTATTTTTTTAATCTCTGATTCCCAGGCGACGGATCCCAGTTTAACCGCGGACCTGGTCAAATTACCGGTCGCAAATGTATCCACACTGGTCGCATCCCAAGTCAACGACTTACCCATTTTAAAAGAGAAAATGGTAATACCATTCGGTCGCTTTCCATCACTGCAGTCGAGGCCGACGGCTTCGATTTGGGAAGGGAACCGAGCTGCAACTTTTATTAGAATTCATTGAACTTTATACAAAGTAAAACTACCATTCAAATGAAATAACAAAAGGTTTCAACCATGAAGTTAGGAAAAATTTACATTTTAATAGCGCTCCGAAATTAATAAACATTTAGGACGAATAAGTGACAAAGCCATTAATGTTGGGATATGGTATTTGATCAGGTATATATCTACATGATTGTAACTGCTTGCCATCACGAATGACGACTTTGAGATCCATCTGAGTGTGTCACATTAACGTTTGAAAAAATAAATTTGGGAAAGGTATGAATTGACCTTACTTTATCTATGTGTTAAATATCAGCATTGACTGAGATGGCTACCAGTATAGTGGAAAGAAAACCTGCCTGAAGAGGGACGGTCTACGCCAGCATCTCTTCCGTTAGATTGATCACGATATATATGGCTGAAATAAATATGCTGATCTACAAACTTTACAGCATTATGGAACTTCGAGTTTTGACGATCTCTAGCATCGTAAATTTCATCCTTGGTATAGCAAACACGCATTATTCTCACAAAGCGTAAAAAAAAAAAAACAAAGGATAGTTTCTTCAAATTTACGCATAATTTTTTTCGATCATGTTGATGTTAGAGCAATTGTCAGCTTGTTCTACTTTATATTGCATTTAATACGAAAGTGATTGGAGATATTTTCTAACTATTGTAGAAATCAAGACTGAATCAAACGTTAACGCCATAAATCTTTACGTGGTGCTGATCACAGTGAAGCTAAATATCTTTTCCTGAAATGGCAACTTTCTCTTGACCGAGAAAACCGAGTCTTAATGTCTGTGATTTACATTCGGTCATTGAATCGGGTTAGAATTAATCAATTTGTAGCTGGTTATGGATGGCATAAAAGCGATGCACATCCATGAATCATCTGACGTGATATTTCGTCTAGATAATTCTAGACATTCATACTGGTTTCTAATTCTTAAAACAATAAATAGTTTTGCCTTTTAATTCGTATAACTTCTGCAACTTTTTCGACGCCTGTAAATACATCTTCCTCCGTCTACACACACACACACACACACACACACACACACACACATATATATATATACATATATATATATATATATATATATATATATATATATATATATATATAACGAAAAGAACTAATAATCAAGAAGTTTTACACCTAAGCACATACGCATTGCAAAAACCGCATTTTTATAGGAACACACACAATCACACTCATTTAAAAATAAAATAACGTTTTGTGGATCAAATGTGCATATAAATAATGCATAATATTCCACAAGTATAAGCACCCAAATGCTGATAAACCCCGAACGAGTGGAGGTGTACTTCCAGGAGTTTGCGTGTCCGATTTCTGAAGTCTGGATGGTGAATGTATCATCAACCAGTTAAGTGACAACACATTTACATACATACACACACACACACACACACACACACACATATATATATATATATATATATATATATATATATATATATATATATATATATATATATATATTGGGAAGAATAAGTATTAATTTTACTCTACTTTAAAAAGTTGAATCTTTTTCTTCAATGAACTGGCAGTCTACTTAGATAATTCCCATATATCAGTGAATATATACTTTTCGTTACGTGCCAGCACAACCTTGTTTGATGCTGTTCGTGAGGTGGTTCAAACAAATCAAAATCGAATACAAATTATAATTTCCTCAAAGAGAGTATATGAGCAGACACTTTATGAAGGTTTTCTGGAGAATGTTTTTGATTTGCGTGTGAGTGGGTTACGAATCTTCTGGAGCATCCCAGAGGATCGAATATCATCAGGAGATCTAATTAGAAATGGTGAATAGTTGAAGGTTGTGAGGTGATCGGGAGAGTGTTTCTTAATTACTTTAAGAAACACGAGATCTCCAAGTGTAGCCTCCCGTTATTATTTCATATTCGTGAGATTTGACACAATGCAAGGCTACAAGAAGTAAAAAAAAAAGTGATAGAAGAAGAAGAAGAAGAAGAAGAAGAAGAAGAAGAAGAAGAAGAAGAAATGATAAGAATTGAAAATGGAGAATAAGAAATAAAAGCGAATAAAGGAGTTGAAAAAAGAAGTAGAAGGAGATGAGGAAGATGAAGAAGAGGAAGAAGTAGAAAAAAGCAGTATGAAGTTAGGGAGAGGGAAAAGAAGAAGTGCCACGATAAGTTGAAGAAGAGGGATAAAAAGAAAATGAGGAGGAAGAGATAGAGGAAGTGTGAATATGAAAAATGAAATAGAAGAAGAATTTGGAGAAGGAGAAGATGAAAAGGAGACAAGATGAAAATGAGAAGAAAGTCTTATACATATTATTATTACAACGCTATCGTATGTTCAATACTGAAGTAATTTTTACTTTACTATGCCAATAATTCTACGGATTAAGCATAAGTTTAATACTTACTAAACTTATCTCATGCAGTACAAACAATATTGCAGGAGTGTTAGTATAATACGCGATAGAAGACCATTGGTCAATATATATCTTATTACATGCATTGCGACTTTTACTATATTTCTCGTTTTATGCATTCAAACCGATTCCTTTTTTCTATGGGGTTAATATAGAAAGGTTTCGGCCATTTCATCCTACTGCCTTCTTCAGGAGTGTATCGATCCCGGTGTTCTTCAATGAATTGAGAACAGTACCGGAAGAAGATTGTTCTTGTTCCGCTCTCATTATCTCAGGGCACCTCGTCTATTTTTTCTTAGTACAGCTTGATTATTATTATAATTTGTTTCCGCTGAGTATGTACTAATCGATCTAGGGAGACTCTCTCTCTCTCTCTCTCTCTCTCTCTCTCTCTCTCTCTCTCTCTCTCTCTCTCTCTCTCTCTCGAAAAATAAAAAAATCCAAAAAACTTTTAGGCGTTCTTGTATGTTTATCCAGGCGAAAACTCCTTGAGGATGCCGAGAGAAAGAATGCATTATTATGCGAGATAATAATCATTCCGATTGCAAAAAATAATGAAAATATTGGTACATCATCATCACAGACATGTCCATCTTTTTATACTCACGGTGTTATATCCTTCTTCAGGTCACTGTCTTGGCACTCGATAAATTTCCTGAAATTTCGAAAGAAACTCTTTATTCAAGTAACGGTAAGAGAGGGTCCTAATTCGGCTTTCTGTTTTTCATACATGTTAAATTTCAAATATTTTTTTCCTTTGACCGTTTCTTCCACTAAAATAAGGTCTGAGAATTGTCAGCATTACAAGCGCCATCGACCGGACGCAGAAATCTGAAAAAAACAGAAGAGCGCATATATTAACGTATTGATGAAATTATACCTGTTCCTTTGACTGTTCTCAGTACTGAAATGATATGTATTATATCCTTGAAATCAGTGTAATGCTGAACTTAGATACAGAGGAAACTTGAAACAGAATTACTCTGTTTCTACCGAAAATCGTTGAGCATATGTATTGAAGATATTTTAGAAAAAAAACAGGAAGTGCGAGATAACTAAAGCAAACAATCAAATAGAGACAACTTAAATGTGTGGAATGCATGAAGAGAAATAAATAACGTGGTAAAGATAACACTCACCGAAAGCAAGAGATGTTGGAAGTAGCGAGAAATTTGCTTAACGAAAATATCTGATTAGATGTAAAAATAATGAAAACATCTTGATGGTAATCTGTCAAAAAAAGCGCAGAAATTGCACTCGGCGAACTGAGTTCAAATAGTTAGTAAGATGCGTACCTTTTTTGACTGATGACATTTAGATATGAGTAAAATAGCAATGCAGATTGTGCTGTCTAGCCTTGGATGGCAACAGGTAAGGAAAATCTTTGAATTCAAAACTTCGGTGAACAAAACATGAAAATCCTATCTGCCTAAAGATAAATAATAATTGGTAGCTCATAATTAGATGCAGCTTTGGTGTTTGATGATATCCTAGCTTCTGAATATAAAATATTATATATATATATATATATATATAATCGACTCTCCCGTCGCGTTCGACGTATGAGGGTCAGGCCGATAAGTCCCCAGGAAACCAACATCCCGACACCGGCACATGAGATTTGTTTATAGTGGTGAAGGCCTTGTGCAGGACCAGCCACACTTTTGGAGGGACGAATACAGAAACCTGGTACTGAATGCATGCCACAAGGTTCCCAAACGACCCTCCGCAGGTTTTGAATTCAGAGTTGTCCTTCTCTAGACCAGTTGCCATCCAAGGCTATAGAACCCAGTCTGTCCTGCTATTTTACCCATAGCTGGAGGGAGATGAAGAGGGTATTAGCACGTAAGTGAATGTTATGGATTTGTCTGGAATTCGAACTCGGCTCTGCGATTCCTCAATCCAAGCCGCTATCCACTGCTCCACCGTGCCTCATCCATCCATCCATCTATCTATCTATCTATCTATCTATCTATCTATCTATCTATCTATCTATCTATCTATTAAAATAAATTATCTATCTATTAAAATTTTATATATATATATATATATATATATATATATATATATATATATATATATTTATATATATATATATATATATATATATATATATAAATTTTAATTAGGTCAACAAGAGATATGAAGTTTTGATGAGAGACGGTCATAGATTGCTAACATTATATTGCTTATTATTATTAATTAAGTGAATTCAGTATTAAGTAGGTGACCAACAGATGTAATATTATATCAGATTTAACGGAGTTTATTAAACGATAATATAAATAACCTAGGAGTAATTATAAAAATGCGTTTTATAAAAGAAGTGTAACGCATATATAATCGGATCAGTTTCGAAGTTGATACAAAAATAATTCCCCTCTTCGTTTCGATTTCTTCTACAGAATACAATTAATTTCCCTCTTGTCAATTATTAAAACCTCTTCAGCAAACATATTCATCTTAGTTTATATAAATTTTAACTGAACATATAATAATAATACCATTACAACACAGTTATTAGAGATTTCTGTAGCCGACGATTCGTCTATTTCCAAAATAATCACAACGTTCACCAACATTAATTTGAATAATTGCTTTGTTGCCACTTACTACATCGTAATAAGGGTAATATTAAGCATCAGTAATATTATCAATAGCTATCTACACGATCCTTTGACAAAAAGAGGAATGCTTATGAATTCACGTTGGTTTTATAATTAACTGCGTCGATTCGAAAGTACCCAGGTAAATGCTATTTCGGTCTTGTACGTTTCCTAATATTATAGCATATATATTTTTTTTCTAATCGACTATTTTATAGAAAAACCCCAAAATTAAAAAAAAAAATTAAATCACTAACAAACATCAAATTAAATTCTTTGTAGACAGTTTAGACATTCAAATTTATATCAAACATTATAATATTTATGAATCCCCCAATATAACACTTTCAAAGTAAAACAAAATAACAGCATCTTTTTCAAGCCTGTTCTTTCCAAAGAAAATTAGTGAAACCTTCTCTCATGACTTCCTTCTCTCTTTTTATTTTTATGTCTTTTTTCTCCTCTACCACTTCTATATCAATATATAACTTCCGTTAAGTTAACAGTTTAAATGTGTCAATGTCTGGACCTCCTCAAGTAATTTTAAGTAAGAAAGAATAGGAATATTAAATTATATCTAACTAACACGTCTTCTCTCTCCCACCTCACTTCTTCACTTCGTTAATTTAGATATGTTTAATACGGCCCGTCAAAAATGTGTAAATTTCGTTTCATTTTTCGTTTCAAACTTTGGAAGTAAAATCTGATGATCCGCAGTCGTTTAAAAGGGCTGTGGTGAAATAATTTATTACATGTAACCTTAAAAAGTGGTGTGTTTTTATTTAATATATATATATATATATATATATATATATATATATATATATATATATATATATATATGTGATGGCTCCCAGATCAACACCGAAGTCTGAAGATTGCGTTCACTTTCACCTATAAATTATGACACCTTAAAATAGTTAGCTCCACTAATTCACAGAAAGAAGCGCCTACCATGAAACGTCTTTCAAACCTGCTAAAATCAAATTGTCATTACAAAATGTTAATGTTGTTATTTAGACGAGAGGCCAATGTATATTTTCATTATTTTATTATTTTTTTTAAATCATTCCGAGCAATTTGAAAATTTTGGTTAAAAATTGATACAGAATTAAACCATTTGGATGTTTTTTTCTGACGGATTACGCGAGTCGATGAGGGGTGAGGCTGGAAGGTATAAGCCTTAAAGGAAAGAGGTTTTATAAAATTGACCAGGAACGGCAATGAATGGTCTTTTTAAATATTTTAACGACTCCAAAACGGAACTTTGTCAGTCATCTGAGAAAACAATTTCTTCCTTCCATTTGCATGGATGATGGTAAGTTTCTCGGGCTAGTATTTTCCGTTGACATGTAGTTGAAATATTACATTAAATGAATTGATAGGTCTGTTGATATGTAAGCTGATTCATTGTGTGGTCTAGACAAGAATCTATCTTACATATTTATATGTCTACCATTCGTCCGTGCTTTGTATATCACTGTCACATATTGTATAGTGCTCTTGCTATATATTTGAGAGATTCTTGATAAAAGCCAAAGAAGAAACTGCAATTTTATAGATCTTGACAAGGCACCTCGGATTCAATCCCTTTCCATCTGTTGTAATGTTGCGTCATTGTGCCTTTATAATGATACTTTTCATGGTATTTGATCTGATAAATTTTCTCCTATGTTTCTTAGACTTCATATATTTATGCGCAGTACTAGATTGGCAGTAAGATCTCATAATTTTACAGTTGAAAGGACTACTTATAACCTAAGTTCTAGGACAAAAGTTTCTTTGTGTTGCCCCTATCACCTGTAAAACTCTCATCCGGTGTAATAGGAGTGACAGTGACTTACCAGGAGCAAAGCGAATTCGTTGCCTCGCGTGTCGAACCATTCTCTGAGAGTCGGTCGCGCGTGCGCCTACTGCCATTTTTATGCAGCAGACTTATTTGCATAAGAGAACCACGCTACCGATTAAAAACCCGGCGAGTGGACGCGGGAGGCCACTGCTTTTCTAGGCTTCGGCGAGACTAGACGGATTGCAGACAGAAAGCGACAGCAATTTCTGGACATACGACATCCGGCCCCTTACTTTTTAGACTATTTTTATTTTCAAAAAATTATATGTACTATGTAGTGACAGTCGTTATTTTATTTCTTTTTAATTCTTGTTATTTTATTGTACTATCTTTGTAACAGTATGATATTCATATTCTCTACACCCAGTAACTCCTTGTGACGTAGAGGATTGATTGCCTTGCTTGAGGTTAGACGATTAATATATATATATATATATATATATATATATATATATATATATATATATATATATGTGCTTAATATAGAGCGTGTGTAATATAAAACGAATAGAAGTCAAATTAGAGGCGTCAGTCTATTTTTACTAGATGCAATCGTCAGGCCTGATGATTGCATCTAGAATAAACAGACTGTCGCCTTTAATGTTGACTAGTTATATTCACTTTATATATATATATATATATATATATATATATATATATATATATATATATAAATAAATGAAATAAAATATTTACATTTTTCGGATTGTTATCCTCATATTTAAAACTTTTCGGCTGTCGTACGCTCCAGCCACCTTCAGATAATTGGAATTTCGAAACGAAAATTTTTTTACGACTACCTGGGTAGATTTTTATCGTTCTACGTGCCAGGCCATTTCCGGGTATCTCAGTTATCTTTCTTTAACTCAACTAGTTTACGTCTTTATCTACTAGGCCATGTCACACATTTTTTCAGTGAAAGGGACACATCTCTTTAATTTTCAATAACTCATGTTACAGAAATTTTGGATTCCCAGGTTTCATTACTGCGATTGCTTGCGGCGAATTTTTTCCGTGATTATTTGCGACGATAATATTTTACGAAAACAATTTTCATATATATATATATATATATATATATATATATATATATATATATATATATGAACAAGTATAGATTTTTTATGAAAATAAGAGAGAGCTTTGTTGGGAATAATCATACCAAGCAGAATTCGTGTGGGATTTCACCCACAGTATCATCTCTAGAACATTTTATTTACTTTGACAGACATATAAATGATAAATGTCCGTATGACATTAATTTATGCAATTTAAAAAGACTTTCGATATAATTGTGTCAACGTAAGCTGAAAATAAATTATCTTCTCCTGTCAGAAATTTATATACCCCCCAAGCTATCAGTCATGACACTCCGGTCTCACAGTATCAATCACAGTCTATTGATCTCTCTCTGTATCTTTTTTTAATATATTCTCATCTATCTCTCTCTCTCTCTCTCTCTCTCTATATATATATATATATATATATATATATATATATATATATATATATATATCTCAATGGAATTAATATACTGTTTTCAGTTTTGTCCTTTTTATATTTGGTTTAGATATTTATTTATCACTCGGTATTGGTTTGTGTATTTACTAATAGCTGCCTATAGAGAAATACACACACTGGCAAATTAACATATTTAATTACATTCCTAATGTCCATTAAACCACCGTTAGAACCACAAACCATTTATGTTTTATAGCAGGAAACACAACTAAATTCCAAGGGCAGAAATTTTTAAGAAAAAAAGAAGGCTTGCTAAATACAAAAACAGGCACTCATAAGTTTTAATGTCACATACACAGAAACATTGACAAATGCAACTCAGGGACACGTAATCACTTATAGTTTCTGTCTCATCCAGTTACTTTCCAGTGTCGATAGTGTCAAAAAGCGTCACCACATACTAATGGGAGACGAATTATTTGTTTTAGAACTCTATTGGACTCTAGTTTGAGCAAAAACCAATGTATAATTCCTCCAACAGAAGAATTGCAATAAAATCGATCATAAACGACAATGATATGCGCATCATTTAATTAGTTATAGCTAACGATCAAAAAAGCTCATGAAGGACTAAAAATAAGATTTTATATATATATATATATATATATATATATATATATATATATATATATATATAAGCAGAATCATTTTCCAAATTATTCAAGATGATGAACTAACCCCTTAGAAAACTTCTAAATTTCTGTTCTGGAGTAAAAAGCAATAAAAAAGATTTTCGTGGATTTCATTTAAATCATTTTTACTGCTTTTTTGGACTTAGTTCAAACGCTTCTCGCATGCGTTAAGAATCGGACGGATTGAGTTGGAGCTTTTCTATTTGATCTTTTTTGATCGAAGTTGTGACCTCCTGATTTAGTTTTCCTCTCTACTGTTACTCTTTTTAATAACGTCTTCAGTGTTTTCTTGATTGTTCCTGAATGAACATTTTATATGGGAGAAAGAGTCTGAATGTTGGTAGCATTACTAAATGCCCTGAACGACCTTTTTACCATTTCACCATTTCTTAGTTGGGA